ACCTAGTACAGGCAAGAAAGCCTTATGTCTCTGAAGTTACATAACTGGAAGTCTATACTCAATTGGAAGAACAAAATATTGCAATTTGCCTCTAAAATTCATTTAAAGATTAAGAGGAAACAATTTAAATAGTCAAATTTGAAAGCTATATAAATAGCCAATATTACTTCATGATTAAGATTTACAAGATGGTAAAAATTGTCTTTAAATATTTTAAATAACTTATCATCCTGACATTTAACAACTTTTGAAAACTCTGTATTTAACACATAATGCTCTAAGTATTTACATATATTAATTTTTCATTTCATTTTCACTACAACCTTACAAAGTTAAGGTACATATACTTGTCTCCATTTAATAGTTGAGGAAACTGAAACACAGGTCAAATATATGAAATAGCTTTTACAGAATTACCAAAGCATGTCTTATGGCATATACATGTTAAATACTTACAAAACCTAAAGGTTAAGATAGAAGCTGAAGGCACCAAAAAACCTTGTTATCTTCTTGTCTTGCAGTTCAATAATGTTGGAATTTTTATACACGAGGGACTTTACATAGCATTCACAGTCTTAACAGTAATGTACAGTGGAGTGTTAAAGAAAATTCTAAGAAACACAGATTGCTTAATATACAGCAAGAGGACCGTAACTAACTCTTAGTAAAGGAAGAGGAAAATTTTCAAACTGATGAACAAAGACATACCTAGGGAATGAGAATGATACTATGGAACAACAAAGCAGCCCTCTGTCTTTCGAGGTGCTGGCATGCACACTGCTATGATGTGTTGGTTCTCAACTGTACTCTCGCACATATTCCTTTGTGTTATTCCTTCCAAGTCTAAGGTCCACACTTTTATCCACCTCTGTCCCTAGAAGGTCTCTCACCTGACTCCCTTGCTTTGTTTCGGTCAGCCTCTGTGCTATTCCTCTCCACCTCTATGCCTCCCGTCAGCTGTTTCACAGTCTCCAGCATCTCTCTCCGCTGCTCTTCCTGAGACTGATTGTCTAATAAGTCTTTACTGCTGCTGCCCCTCATGAAAGTGTTTGGACGAGCTGCTGCAGAAGGAACTGGCTTGTCATTCTTCTCCCTGCTCATGCTCCCACGACTGTAAAGACAAAAACACTTTTTGACATCCTAACTGCTTTATGTTCAAATTATAAAATAAGTGTAATTTTCTACAAAAGTTTAGATGAGGCACAAACTATATTTCAAAGTATAATCCATATAAACAAGTAAAAATCAGAATGTTTTGAAGTGAGTATTTATTAAGACATTTTAACTTTTTTTCTCTAACAGTAAATGGGACACTACTTAAAATGAATTTTTTTTTTTTTCTAATTTTGGTGCTGGGTTAAACCTAGAGCCTTGAGCATGCTATGCATATGCTCTACCACTGAGTTACTTTAAATGTCAGTAATAATTATTATAGTTTTAAAAACTATTTTGAAAAAAAATGACAGTAGCAAAAGTATGAGTTAAAAAAATGAAAAGGAAACAACTAAGTAAGAACAGGTAATCACCATCTCAGAAACTACATGATGATACTTTGTTTCACTAGATACTTCAAAGATATGAAAATTATTTTTAAAACAACTACAAGCAGAGTTGAATAGCCAAAGTCATATATTTATTCATTTTAAGAAAGAATGCATGTTTCCCTATTTAGCCTTCCTTTAATAACCAATTCTCTTCAGTGATATAAACTGTTCCTTGGCTCAGGGCAGCTCAGAAGCAGCAAATTAAGAGAGAAAAGAGGGAGATTCAGAAATGGGCAATTTCTAACTACTATGAAAGCACACACAGAAGAACTTACAAAGCCATTACAGGAAATTTATGGCAGTGGAAAGAGCCACAGCACTGTAATTCAACAACTGCTGCTCAGGGACAATCCAAATCCTAAGAAGTTGGTTTGTACGAAGTATACAGTACTCTGTTTCAGAAGCCCAGGGAATAAGTAATCTAGTTTACCAAGTCTACCTAATCAATTATAATAAGATGAAAGTTTGAGAGTTTAAAGAAACTTCATTTCTGAAAGTGCTTATATAAAAAATTTCTTTTGTCACCAGTCCTCCATTATTCTATATAAACCAGCCAATATAACACTTGACTACACCAGTCCTACAAAAGTGAAAGTAGGTAGTAGAACATGCAGAGACTAGTGAAAACTGAACAGTGACTTCAAATATCCAGTAAAGGACAGGGTGACAGAGAAATATAAGGGTGGGCTGCCATATTCTTTAATTCACATGCTTGAGAGTACTAGGTTATTCTACAGCATCCTAGTGCGGCAGCTTAGTGAGCCCCAGAGATGCCTCTAGCGCGCTTCGCATGGGCCCAGCTTTCCTAGGATGCAAACTACAGTATTAGGTACTTTTGCCAGATAACTTGTCCTTTCCTCCCATCTTGTCCTAAACCTCACATCTAATTGTTATTATCTTATTATACTATGTGAAGATGAAAGGAGAAAATCAACGTTAGGGATAAAAGGAATGCATCCATAGGACTATCATCATAACTTATGTGGGAGACAGGGAGTCATACTGCCAACAGCCTTGAGCAAATTTGAAAAGTAGGATTCTCACCTGGTTAAGGTCCTTCGGGAATCAAATTCTAAAGGTGTAGCTGACGTGGATCCAGAGGGCGCTGGAGGTTGCAGTGCAGAGAATCTATTTAAACTGGAAGTGGTTGACCGTAAGGCATCTACAGGTGTTGAGGATTTAGGAAAAAATAGAAATGATATGACTAAAATATAGATAATTATTTACCTGCATCCACAGAGTGGAGCCCAAGACCCGGAACTTCTTTCTTTTTTATTTTTTAGAGGTGGGAGTGGAAGGGGGGCGTTACCTAGGCCTATGTTGCCCAGGCTGGCCCTAAACTCCTGTGCTCAAGCATTTCACCCGTCTCAGCCTCTGAGAATAGTAGTTGGGACTATAGGTGCTAGCCACCATGCCTAGAATCAGAGTGGCAATTTCTAACAAGTTCAGATAACACCAATCTCCTGACCCAGCTACTATCCTCTCAGAAGACTATCCTCTCAGAAGGGAATTGTATGTAAAAGACTGTTCGTTGCAACCATTTGTCTTTAAAACACTGAAATTATCTTAAGCAGGGCACAGAAATGGTTGTAGTGTATAGGAGACAGACAAAAACCAGAACACTGCACTTTAATGAAGTTTACCAATATAAATGCTATAATCTCACTTATGCAAAATTATGATTCCTTCATAGAGGGAACATATAGAAAGGAGGGTAACACTGAAGTTTCTTTTTTGTAATTGGGCTTCTTTATTAAGGTGTATTTGTGATGGTGCAAACATTTTTAGTTTAAAAGTGAAATCTGTCAAAAACTGATTTTTGATAGATTTTAAATGTTTCAATTCAATTCTTTATTCTTTTACAACTCCCTTAAATGTTTCTGTGTATTAAGAGTCTTCTTTTTAACATAATGAGTTTACCTTTAAACCTGGGGCCCTAAGTTATTTCTCTCACTACACTGAATTTGTGAGCAACAATAACAAGAACAAATAGGAACTTAAAAGATTAAAGTCCTAATTAAATAGCCAGACAGGCAGAATAACTTCTAATGTTCTATAGCACAGCAGGGTAACTATGGTTGACAACAGTTTCAAGAATATTTCCGGCCAGCTACTAGAGAAGATTTTGAGTATTCCAAACACAAAAATATGATAAATATACCAATGATCCTGACCTAATCAGTACACATATACATACACTGTACTGAAATGATACACTCTGCCCCATAAATATGCACAATGACTGTATGGCAATTAAAAATGAAAATGTTAATTTAAAAATAGCCTAACTGAATTGAAATCAATAAAACCTAAGAATCCTTACCCAGGAGGACACTTGAATCGTGTTCTGTGAAGTTGCACATGATTAGCTCCTTCTCTGTTATGCAGTGAGTGTGGGAACTAGCTGTAAAGTGAACACTAACACACCAATTATGTCTGAGAAGGGCCACTCAACACTTACCAGTCTCACTTGCCTTTGCTCCACCGCTGCTGCCTTTTCCCCAGCTACCCAGCTGTGCTTTAGGTACGAGTTGAATTTTCTCATCAATTGTGGGCTGTAACATAAGTGGCCACAATACACTTATAGGAAATATTGTAGAAGAATAGCTTTTCTTTTTTTCTTTTTCAGGGCAGTAGAACTAATTTTAGCAACAAAATTTTAAAACACCATTTGGAGAAATGTAAGATGGAATTGTTCTCATTAAAGTGGGTTCCCTGTGGCATCTAAAACACTTCCTTGGACTCATTTCCACAGAACAGTTTGAAGGCATTGATCTGAAGAATGCACTCAGATCCTTCTATTTAAGATGGTTCATTAATCTGCCAAATGTAAGTAGTTTCTAATGATTCCTCTTATATAACAATGCCCAGCAATTTAAAAAAGAATAAAAGAGTACACAAATATTACAAAGTTAACTCATAAACCTCTTTATATTTGTCGTAAAACAGGGCAACCGACATAAAAATTTCATGGTGGGGCTAGAGGTAGAGCAGGGAGATGTGACTATTCAATGAAGGGGAATAGGAAGAAAGAGAATGGAAGACTGTACAGGGAGTGCAGGGAGTTAAAGTGCCTGGGGTCTATCATGTTTAACCCTCCAAGCATGTTAGTGGACGTGGACAGAATTACAGTGTTGTGCACATTTTCACAAAATGTATGTAACATAAAAGCTAGAATGCAGTTCTTTGTAACAAAGGTATTTCTATACTCTGACAACCCATAATATGCTGCCTTACTATGCAACATTCTTTCACACAAATCTCTCCCAATTAATAAGGAATATGTTTAACAATTTTAAACTTTTTCTAGGATACTTTACATAATCTACAGTATAACTATCTGAATCAACAAAGTTTGTTAACAATTTGCATACTTTTCAAAATGTTACTGTAGTGATGTTGGGGGTTTGATACTAGCACTGTTCTTCTTATGGGCTAGTACTAGTACAACACTGAAAAACACATGATCATTAAATATTAATATAATCTTCAAAGATGTTGGGGTTGATATTGCAGAAATTCTTTAAATAACAAGGTTTTTGCTGAAATCATCTTTTGCTTGAGATGAATGACAACTGAATTGTATCTAGTAATACAACTGGAAACTGTGGTCTGAGCCAAAAACAACTAGAAGAATGCACCAGAATCTTAGAGAACAGTAGCCTGGTTAATTAAATTCCTAGAGAGATCCAGAGGGAGAATACTTAATCCTGAGGCAAACTTTGACAAAATTATGAAGATACAAATGACTTAAGTCATTTAATGCCAGTTTTCTCTTTTTAAAATTTTGGTCAGTTACCTTTTTACATCTGATATTTTCATATTCGTTTCAGATTTTCTTTAGCATTTTGCTGGCAGATTCCAATTTTCAGAATGATGGAACGAATCACAAGCAGGGATCAAATAAGACTTGCAAATGATTTGCAAACCCATTGGACTGTGAAAGTTTCCATTTTTACCAAATCGAGTTCTACTTTCTCTATATTCTCACTTGCTTTATTTACAGAGATTAACTTCTATTGCTGAAAACATCTGCTAGGAGAAGTTTCCTTCCCCTTACTGCCCATGGAGTCTCAAAAGAAAGGAAGGCAGAGCATATTAAATCTTTATTACAGAATGATTTCTAATGGTCTTCTGTGGTTTGTTTTTGGCTCTGGATATGGGAAACCATCATGGTTACATTTAAACAAGTAACTGCTTCTTCTCCAGAGAAAACGATAAGAGTGTAAAAGTCTGCAAATGACTAAGGCTTCTAAAGTATCTTTACCATCATTTCTCTTTTATTAAGCATTTCATAACTCTAAGAGTTAACCTAGGCATCCCTCCTTATAAAACCCTCCACTTGTCTAGCAAGCCTGTGGCCCTGGGTTTGACCTCCATTACTGAACACCAAATAAAATAAAGCAAACTAAAAACCCTTTGTTAGAATAGAAAAACCCTCACAGACTACTAAAGGATTCCTGCCAAGATAGGACAACATTGATCAATACTGACTTGTAGGAAGTTATCTGTATCCAAAACCTACTACCCATAAGATATGCAATATGGTTATTTTATGTGATCAATAAGCACTTCCTAGACTCATGGTGGAGTACTGTAAATATTTTTCTAGCAGTAATGGGGACTGAACCTGGGGCTTTATGTACACTAGGGAAATACTTTACCACTAAGTTATGTTCCTAGCTCATATGTTGCATTTTATCCATTACACTTACCTTAGTGATTTTCAGGAATTTTGACGGGTCTAGTACTCGACTGTTTTTGGGCCCTTGTACAGTGTTCCACCCACCTTCATCCACTCTCTGGACACCTACAAAGTATAACAGAGTTAGCCAGTCTCTCATTTGTCTTATGTCAGTTTGACAGTGAAAAGTGAGCAATATTTTTAATTCAGTCACTCCAACTAAAACCAATGGAAAATGCAAAAGAAGCTGTTAAAACATCACTGACAGCATGAAAATAATCAAGCAGCTCTCTGCTTATACTGGATCTTCATGAAGCATTATTGATCTAGAAGAAACCAAATGATACAAAGAACCTTCAGTGGACATAGCAGGGCAAAATCTATTTAAAGAATCAATGACTAAAACACATTCAGAAAAAGTAAATAGAAATCATTATTAATACTTGTGTGCACATATGTACGTATGTGGTACTGGGGATTGAACCCAGGGGAGTGTTAAACTACAGCCCCAGCCTTTCAATTTTGATAAAGTCTCATTGTGTAAAAAGCCTTCAAATTGCTAGCCTCAAACTTGTGATCCTCCTGCCTCAGCTTCCCAAGTACGTGGGAATATAAGCATACATCACTGTGCCAGGCTGGAAATCATGGATTTTAAAGATTCTTCTTTAATGGTGTCAAGTGATTCAAGTTGGCTTTCATGTTTTCCTAAGACCTACTTCTTCAACACGTCAGCTGCACAGGTGAAAAACACTGACTTTTCTTTCTGACACTTCACATCCAATTTGTTAGCAAATCTTGTCAGTTCAAACATTATAACATTCAGAATCTAGCCCCTTTCAATCACTATAAACATTAGCAGTTCTGTTTAAGTTAGCACATGTTTTTGCTGGATCAACGCAGAAACCTCCTCTTTGGCCCCTCTGCTTCTACCCTTGTCTCATCTTGAGGCCATTATTTCCCCAGCCAGACCTTGTCATCCTTTTGTGTGAAACACATCTGGCATCTTGGAGAAAAAGACAAGATTCCTTACACAGTACATGGCCTACCAAGCTCTCAACACTCTGACTCTTGCTGCTTTCCAGCCCCCTCTTCCCCACTCTCCTCCTCAGACCCACAGCTCCAGCTGCATTGGCCTCTTTCTTATGTTCCTGAATGCTGATGGGCCTCTGCCAAAACTAAAATACTTTCCCCAGATAAACACATGATTTACTCCCTTACCTGCTCCAGGTCTTTGCTCAAATAACACCAACTTTAATTAGCTTCCCAACCTCCCTATTTAAAACTGCAATCTCTATTCACAAAAACTTGCATTCCACACACATTGTCTTTCCTTTATTTTTCTATCGAACAAATTCATTTTACTTCAACATATACTCCCTCTTCCTCTGAAGATGTAAACTGTATAAGGAAAGGAACTCTTTCTTGTTAAGTGCTAGGCACTCAATATTTGTTGAATAAATGAATGAATGAATGACGGCCAAGCTGTCAACCCCAAAACTGTTCTTATTCTTGTGTACTTTGTATACTTCACTTTCTCTGTGCTGAATTACTGAATGTGAACATATGTGCTTCTTCTGTTTCTATGACACTTATCCTTGTTCCTTCTCTCCACTTGCTCTGTATCTGTCACTATTTCAAGAATTGTTTTTGCTCTTTAGTCATCTCTGCATATCTTCCATGAATTAGGCTTTCATATCTTTCTCAATTTAGTTCAATAACAAAATGATAATAATTACAACGGAAATAATAATAAATAATAAAAAATGAAGACACTGCCTGAAAGGCATTGTAAGTCCTGGGGTGAAGAAGGTTAAGTGTGGTACCTGCAGTAACTTTTCTTCCCTGGTGCATTCATCTCTCTTAACAACTACACTATGAGCTGTACTGTGTCCTTGGATAAATAAAAGCCAACGGTAACTGAATATTTATTAAGACTTAGATGTTATTTGAATACTTTTTATAAAATATTTCATTCTCACAAATCCCAGGTACTACTATCCCTATCCCTCAAGTTCCCAGCTCCCCACAAGCCCAGTGGCTCCCCACCCTTACCTGGTCTTCTTTTCTCTTTGGTCATGAGCTGCTGGACCTTTCTTTGTTCTTCTTGTTCTTCTATTTTGGCCTCTTTATGAATCTGTTCGATGGTTTTAGGCCCTTGATCTGCTCTTCGAGATACCCAATTACACTGTAAAAGTAGAAAATAAGGTTACCAGTCAGGTAACTGCAAATATACTCTTTTAAAAAAAATCTCAAGTTTTCACTGCTGGAAAGTATAAAATATCTACGAAATCTAGGATCATGGCAGTTTCTCATCTGTTTCATAGATGACACTATGTAGAGTATGGATTAGAGGTAAAAAATTAAAAGTCTCCTAACTCAACCCTAACCAGTTCAGCTGCACATTCCAACAGTTGATGGATAAAATGACAAAGACTAGCTTCAATGTAACTAATTATCATTATTATGTATAAATGTAAATAATTATCATTATTTTCCACATACTGGGCTAGGGCTGCAGCTCGGTGGTAAAGCACTTGTCTAGCATGTGTGAGGCTCTGGATTCAATCCTTCAATCCCCAGCCCTACAAGGATTCCTCGGCATTGCCTTAATCTGAGGTATTGCTAATCAAGTCATATCACGTTTCATAGCACTTCACCACCAAGGATGACTAGCATTTTTCTTCCTCTAATACCATCATTTTGGTATCAGTGTACCACACAACGCTGTCCTTTGGTTAGCCCCTCTGTAAAAATATAAGTGATTTCCTCAAAAGTATAAATATTTCCCTTTTCTACTCCCAAATACAATCCTAACATCTGATACAAGCCAAAGTGGATGAAGGCATGGATGACAGGTTTAAATTAGTATGCAAATTCTCATCAACCAGTAAAGACTTTGGTGATAAAGATTCTAAGATCACACCTGGGCTTAGCAAGACAAAGAACCATCATGAAGGTTATCTACTTTTCACTGTCAGCTGCAACTGCTGTAACAGTTGAACTAAGAAAAAAGGTGGCAGTGATAAGAACTGTACATACTTCAGAGAGAGAGATAAAAAAAAGCAGAAGGCGGCTTACATAGGAAAAAACCACAGGAAAGAAAATATCTATGAATTGGTACTTTACACAGTTATCCCACTAAATTTTTACAACAATACTGCAAGGTAGCTAACATATCCAATTTAGAGATTAAAAATGTAAGGCCCAGGGAAGTTGACTACAGAATGAATTTAGAGAGTGCCATATCCTAAATCTAGACCTCCAGGGAGACAGAATGAATTCAGAATGGCCAATTTCAAAATGACAAGGTGGTTTGGTAATCAGAGTAAGAAGAAGAAATGAATAATAGACCAATGGCCTTTTGTTCTTTCATACAACTCTCTCATGAAAGTTAGTGAATTCAAGTTCTGAGCCCTGAACCAAAAGGGTTATGTTTTCATACATGCAATACTAGCACATCCTTATTCAACCCAATTCCTTAAAAGAGATTATGCTGGTAGGTTTTTTATTTTCTTCTACTTACCAGTCTTAGGTCTATTACATCTTGAAGCATGAATCGAATCCTAGATGAAGTTTTTCTTTCTTTCACAATTTTCTCCATCTGATTAAAGTACTGGTCCATACGGGGCTGTAAGAGACAAAATCACTCGTATTCTGGCTGGGAAATTCAAATGTGATTTTACCATGTCAAAAGTAATAGTAATCAGTAATGTTAGAATGTTTGGGTGGGTTGGGGGAAATGCTGGGGATTAAACCCAGGGCCCTTGTACACGTCAGGAATAAGCTCTACCACTAAGTCACATCCCTGGCCCTAGAATTTTTAATTGAGCAAATGATCACTCAGTAAAGGCTACACTTTCCAGGCTCCCTGGCAGCTGGTTTTGGTAATGTGACTAATTTTGGGCCAGAATATAAATAGGAACACTGTATAGTGTTATTGCTCTGGAACCTTTCTTAAGAGAGATTTAAGAGATTTGACTGTCCTTTGCCCTTCTTCTACTTTCTTTGCTGAGAGTTAACAGGGACCTGGGTTATGCCTTAGGAAAGTAACATGTTAAACTGCAAAAACTTACCTATGAATTGTGTTTATATAAGTGAAAAATAAACTCCAGCCTAGTAATAATCAGACATTTGGGGTTTTATCTCATAGTTAAACATCATCTTAGCAGACTCAAGTATTATGGAACATTACTTGGTATTTTTTGGAACCACTTTAAATTTCCACATCTCTTATTTGAATGGCAGTATGTTACATTTGGATTACAGTATTTTTGATTATTTCTTCTATTATGGTTAGATAATTGTATCATTAATTAGGTCATAAACTTAATAAAGCTACTAGGTCTTCTCTATTTCTGATCACCCTTAGGCCTGACTCATGGTAGCATTTCTTCTCATTTCTGCTCATAACTTGTCATACAAACAAATCATCTATGAAATGGCTATGGAGGAAAATCAAAAGGACAAGGAATAAATAATTTGAACAATTTATAAATTAGACTGTATATAACCTGGAACACTTCTCACTTCTCACTCTAATGCAAATATGGAAAAAAGTGTTGACAATCAAACCCTAACAATGAGATGGAAAAAAGGAAAATTAAATAGTGTAGACTGCAGGGCAAGATAGACAATTTTTGCTAAGACCCTAAGCTTTTTTTTTGCAGCTGACCAAGAGGCCCTGCTGAAGGTTTCTAGTTTCTGGAGTTTTACCTTTGCTTTCTCAAAGTCCAGGTCTTTGCCAATGGTAGTGAGAAGGCGACACAGGCACTCTAGGGATTCTTCATCATGGTTCTTTAACAGCTTCACCACGCAGTCATGCATGATGGCTTCGGTCAGCATTTTGAGTTTAAAGAGTTCCCCAATAAACTTAATGTTACCAATAGATCTCCTCCGGGCTTTATCCTTGGCTTCTTCTAGTTCATCATGAAGCCTTGTCTTTTCCTCTGGCTGTTGTATAAGAAAGAATAATAATAGCATCTGGATGAAAACTGTACTGTACAACAGACACCAAGATGTAGGTACCTTACTCATTCTGGGGATCAGATGTCCTGTAAGAATCTGACACTACTCTTCAGAAAACAGAATCATACTCAAAAATTTGCACCCAGTTTAAATTTCTAGAACCTGGTGACCTCTCTGAAATCCAGGCTGAGACTCGTTTGGTGGGCTGAGTTGTTCTCACGTTCAGTGTGAATAGGAATGAAATGTCTTAACTGTCAATATGGTACCTTTGCACTGAAAAAAATGCTACAGGTCTCCCTTAAGCCAGAAAGGAGATGTTATAGCTGGTTTTTAGGAAAATTCTATTTCATAATGCTCAAAGCTCACAAGCACTACCTATGAAAGTACTTACAGCACTGGCAGCTTCGAGTTCTTTCTGCTTTTTCTCAAATACATCATCATCTGCTTTATCTTTTTCAAACTCCTTCTGGCAACGGTTTAGTAACAGCTTCCGGAAATTTACTGTGTTACCAGGTTTATCTGCCATGGGTACTTTCAGCTGCATCCAGACAGGAAAACGCAAAAGGATCAAGATTACTTAAAGATATTCTAAATATATGTTTTCCTTTATGCAAAACAATGCTGACGGAATCACAGGTAAGCATTTTATGAGAGTCATTTTATAAGAGCTTCAAGCATTCCATGATTTAAACACTATGATGCCTTGAAATTTACAGAGAAAAGATACACATTATTCTCATACAAATGTATGGTATCTTTTATGACCCTGCTTCTAGGTGATTCAGAAATCCATGTCATATCATTACAGCTATGGCCCTATACCTGTGTAGACATTATCTTAAAAAACAAAACAAAACAAAAACTGCCATTCTAAAAATTTTCATTTAAACGAACAAGCAGAAATGATATAAGGCAAGGGAGAATTTCATGGCCAGGGACAGCAGAAAACTGTTGTAGAAGGTGAGATTCTTATTCTAGAAAAAAGTAGAACATCTGAGGATGTTTGAGATTTTTTTTCTCAGGAGAATGTACTAATGCAGTAAATGCCAGTACTTACCCTGATTATCAATATCTAGTAGTATGTTAGAATTATTTATTATGTGCTCAAAATATACACTAGTGTTCCAAAAGTTTAGTCTAACAAATTGGCACTTCAGAAACATACTTTTAACATATAGAGCAACCCAAAGTGGAGGGTAAGCGACCACTTATTTAGAGGCAAGATGCTCAAAAGATTTCCACCCACATTCAATAAAAATTGTTTTCTGGTAACTGAACAGCTTTAGTCTTCAATGTTACTTGTAACTAAACACAGAGACATTCTTGTAAATATGTTTAGAATATAAAGAAAGGAAACTACAGCAGTGATTCTAATAATATATTTTATTTTAGAGATAAAATCTATTTTGAAATCTATTGGGTAAAATGTCAAAATGATTTTTCAGGAATCACAAAGTGGATCCCAAAATTCTGAAATAAACATGTGGTCTTTGCCCTAGACCTAAAGGGAGAAAATATTGAAAGTAGAATGCACTATAATTATACTCACAAAATAGGCAAGGTTATCAGCGGTATGGACCTGGATAGCTGCTGCTTGGGGCTGAATAGCTATAGAAACTTCTTGAGAATTGAGGCCCATGATGCAATAGTAAACCTGTACTAGAAATGATGGCATGCCCTATGATGTATGAAAATTATTCAATAAATCCAGTTCTAATCATCCAAGTTACCAAGTGTTACATTAAACATTTCTCCTCAGCAGGAAACACTAACTTACTTACGAGGAGCACAACATTATCAAATAAGTTTTTAGACAACTACAGAAAAGCTAATATATCCCTACTCCAATATTAGGCCACGAAAATACAAGCTACTAGAGATCATTTCATAATCAGGCCTCCTCTACAATCAGCCAAGATAAGAAATACTGCAAGAAAGCAAAGGCTTTCCAAAGCCAACGCTTATCTTCCAATAACGCAGGACCCCAAATACATGATAACGCACTAAGAAATACAAAAGAGAACTAAGAAGTGTATCTATGAATAGGCTGGTATACAGGAGCACCAACATGACTTTAGTTTAGAACAAACTAAAGGTTCTAACAATTTGCACTAAACATCCAACCTGCTGCCGTGCAGGAAAATAACTCAAATCAGTCAGAAAATCTATTCAGCTTCTTGGCATATTCATCAGCAGCAACTACAGTAAGTATATATAACTGATTATATGGGAAAAAAGTGGCTTGGGCCACAATCTATCATTCCTAGTAAGCTGTTTCCTGCACGGTGGATTTATTATATAGAAAATGGGCAAAATGTGTATAACCATATGAAAATCCAAGCCACTGACAGTGGTGTGAGGAACCATAGTTAAAATAGGCACCCTAACTCCCAACCCCCAAAATCAGAAAGATAAAATAAATATAATTTATGATGGTTGGAGAGACAGGATCAGATTGAAATGGCAAGTGGAGGGAGGATTTCCCAAAACAAAAGTGTAAAAGCTATGCTGTAAATTCACAAAGAAGGAAGATCTCTCAGCCATGCCTTGTATTCCTTTTATGTAGGGAAGGGTACACGCAAAGAGCTAGGATAAGGATCAAAAGGCTTGCTACCTTGTATATACACAAAGGCAATTCTTTTAACTCAAGTTTCAGTTTTAACATCTAAAACAAGTGAGCCACAGTACCTGGGTCCAAGAGGGAGAGCAGCTTTGAGACTCCAGTGAAACAGATTTTGTGGAAACACTTTTAAATAAATCACAATTAAGTAAACTGTAACTGGGGTGTATAGAACACTGAAATTGAAAGAGTACTTGAATTTGAGTCACAAAATCAGGATTGGAATCCTGTAACTAGTTAACTATGTGAATGGGTGGACTTTACCACTTTGAGCCTTTTTACATAAGACATTCTAATGATTGTAGACTGAGGGACATTATAAGATGGCTGCTGAAATGAGAGCTTTGGAGATGGTATAGTCATAACCCCAGTGATGCCACATGATTCTGGCCAAGTTACTTAGCACTAGAGTGGTTTTATTCATAAGTGGGATGATGACATATACCTCTTAGGACTGCTGGAAGATTAAATGAGATAGCCTAAGTGAAGCAAGTAACAGTGGCTGGCATATTGTAAGGGTCCAATAAACAGCTAATGTAGCTGTATTTAAACATTTGGAGGTATACATGATGTTTATGATTAAAAATTAGAGTAACCTACTTTACAATAACATAGTTATCAAAGAAAGAATATAAACAAATGAGAGAGAGAATTACAAAAAGCAAGAGAAGTGAACATCTATCCCAAAATGATGGTAAAGGAAGCTTCCCATATACAGGGTGTAAAGAACCGGTGACTGTGCATACGCTTCTTAGATACATTCACATGGAAATATTAAAAGCAAATAACCAGCGTAATAGCTACAGGTTTGAACAAACTATCCCTAAATGACTGCCTAGCTGTACAGCTTCCTAAAGACTTGCTTTGCAACGTGATGGTAATGCTGTCTGGGGGTAGTTGACAGGGCTTTGGAAACATGAAGACCAGCCAGTGAGAACACATTCTTCAAGAATAGTGATTTATGGTAATTTTTGTCCATAAGTGATAATAAATTCAACAGGATTCTTACATTCTTAAGTGAACATGTATTGGACACAAACATTTAGTCCACAACAACGGACACTGGTGGGCACTGGCTTCTCAGGAGATCCACTAGCTCTGGTTAGTTGGAACAGAACATGAAGAATGAACGTCTCAGTCTGCTTGAGCTGCTATAATGAAATACCACAGACTGAGAAGTCCAAAACCACAGTGCTGTCAGAGTTGGTTTTTGGTGAGAACCTTCCTCCTGACTTGAAGATAGCCAGCTTTCTGCAGTGTCCTCACATAGGAGGGAGAAATATTTGGTACCTCTACCCCTTCTTACAGAGGGTTATGGGTGGAGTCCCATTGATCTCATCTAAACCCAATCACCTCCCAAAGGCCCCAATTCCTAATACCATCACATTGAGGTTTAGAGCTTCACTTCTTGACTTTGGAGAGGACACAAACATTTAGTCCACAATAACAGACAAGGTAGATGCTTGTGAACGTGACACAGATGATAGCAAGAATGAAAAGTGATGTGTGCCAATAAGAAAAGAATGTATTTAAAACGGGCTCCATGCCACACACTTACAATCCCGGCACTCAGGAGGCTGACGCAGTATGAGACCAGACTGGACTACACAGTACGTTCAAAGGTAGCCTGAACTGTGAGATTCAGGTAGCCTGAACAGTGAGACCCTGTCTCTAAAACAACAAAATAAGTATTTAGACAACTATAATTTTCATAGTAGTTTATGATTGATTACTGATTGATCCTGGTGAATAAACCCAGAGAACACTGAGCTATATCCCCATCCCTTTTGAGACAGGTCCCCCTAACTTGGCCAGGCTGGCCCTAAACTTGGGATCCATCTACCTCAGCCTCCTGAGTAGCTTGGATTTCTAGTGTGTGCCACCATGCCTGGATTTGTGTGTGTATTTTATTATATGGGTTGAGAGTGGTTTCTGTTTCTCAGAGAACATGGGCGTCAGCATGAATATTTAGTAAGGCTGCTTGGTAAGCTACATTTACTAGAAAGTACCTAGCTTTTAATTTTACACAATAGTAAAGTAATAGTGTAGTATTAGTGCAATGAGGCCTATCTATGTACAGATCACTCAGTAAATTTGGATATGAATGTTGTCAGTAGCAGAAAGTAACAGGACTTATACTGCTGACGTATTTGTTAGTGTGAGCACAGACAATTCTTATCCCTCAAAGGATCAAATTTCCAGAGAATTATCAGAGGCTGTCATCTGTTTGATATCATGATAGTCAAACAGGAGATGAGAAAATGAAGAACAAGCCTTGGCCTTGGTGAACATGGTCATGATTTTCAGTGCTGTCTCTGACACAAAGATGCCAGTAGTAACCCACGACCCAGTAGTCATTTTGCCCCCAAAGCATGTGTTAGTCTGAGGTAAATATTTGGAACAACTAGTATAATGTAAGCAAATGATACTTTTGCGCTAACTTTAAAGCAGGTTTCTATAGGGTAGTTCCTTCATTTTGTTTTTTGAGACAAGGTCTAACTATATAGTTCAGACTGGCCTTGAATTTGCTATGTAACCCAGGCTAGCCTCAAACTTGCAGCAATCCTCCTGCCTCAGCCTCCCAAATGCTGGGATTACATGGGTGTACAACCACACCTATAGGATAATTCTTAAATAAATAGCAATAAAACAATTGTTCAAATGTACCTTTGGAGTTTAGTGATATACTAGCCTCTATCAGTAACTTTGCCCTGACCTTAGAAAACCACTTGCTAAAACTGTACATAACTTATACTTTGCATACACCGAACACAAGTGCCAGAATGCATCTCTACTAGGTACACTCAAAGAGGTATGCAGTGGTGAGGGCTACTCATGAGATTCAAAAGCGAGTGTCTGAAAGTTATTGGTGACCAGTATTTTTTTCAATACACTCTTGATCTTCCATTAGACAAGCC